CCCCCCCCCCCTAATTGTACCTTGATGAATAAGCTTTGTGTAATCATACCAGGCAGAGTGAACACTATCCACTTCGTACTCTCTGTCCCATTTATACTGCTGAGATAGAGAATTATTATATCAAGTGGCAGGCGTTTTGATTGTTATCATTAGCCCTTTAGTTGACTTCAGTCTTCACAGAGGGGAGAGAACATCAAAGTGTAAAAAAATCAAGAGGTGGGGGGGGGGAGAACAGAAGAGTGTATCAAAGACGAAGGTAGATAAGGTGGAAAAAAGGTGGGATGAGTACTGTGAAAGTAGTCGAATATGACATACAGTGGGGTGATGGTAGTCAGAAGTCAACGGCCAGGTAATAGACTTTTTTTGCCGTATGAGTATACGTTGCCCAGGGTGCATCACGTGGAGGTAAGTCTATCACACACCCCGAGATAGGGAATTTATATTAGAGGATTTGCTCTAATTCGATTTCACTAACTAAGCCTTTTATCCACGGCCATGACCTAAAATAAATGCTGCTTATGCCCTAAGTTCTCTCTCTCCTAAATACTCTTGAGATTTCGTTGTCAGAACAGAGCACTTTCTCACACGCGAACATCGCGTCCATTGAAGGTCGTTACACACAGGTTTGCAAAATGCATTTGACTTTTTTTACTTTCTAATAAGACGAAATGTGAATATTGAGATAGTGTCGACCACGCCTGCTAACAAGAATATTTCTGGTAAAGTATATCAGTTATTTGTTGTTAGGTAGATTCAGAAAAAAACTTTAGAAAACTCGGTGTTTTTGTAACAATCGCCTAAAAGAGCCCTTTAATTGGTTAGTGGTTAAGATTTAACAGGATGTTTGTGCATTAAACTGAATAATTAAAGTTGCTTTTTTGATTAAAGTGAAAATTTGCGTATTGGTTATCTTCATGACTATTAAGTAGTCAACCGTCATATCGATTATTGGGTCGAAAATGGCGGGGTGTGCGATGGACTTGCCTCCACGTGGTGGACCCTGGGCAACGTATGCTCATACGGCAAAAAGTCTATAAACTAGCAGTTGATTTCTCACTTCAAACTGCCATTACCCCACTGTATGTCATATTCTACCACTTTCACAGTACTCACTTCACCTTACCCATTTCTCTGCCTTTTTGCCTGCCTGTCTTTTTACGTCTGTGAATCACTCTTCCGTTCCGCCCTCTCGACTTTTTCTCATTTTGATGTTCCTCCTCCTCCTCTCTGTGAAGCCCGAAGTCAGCTAAAGGGCTAATGATAACTATCAAAACGCCTGCCATTGGAAATAAATTTCGTAATTGCATCGCACAACAAAAAATTGAAGCTTATTACGCGGAAAAGCAAAATACTGGTTATAATTAACCGTGAACAGGGACTATTAGTAATCACTCACTTTTATCAAATAGGATCTCTGTTTTGCACGGGATTTTATGACTAATTTATAAAGTGTTTACTTACTTCTCTACTACTGTTTGCGCGCACTATTGCTAACAAAGCAGTTAATTTGGACCACTAACCTTTCAAGCCACTATCTCCGTCCGTCTTTCAAAGTTCACTGGAGCCTAATTGAAATGCCAATAGGCCTAAGCTACAATGTGGGGGGTGGGGGGAGGGGAGCACTGGTTGGCTAAAAGCCCATATCAGAAAGCACCCTATTGACCATAATCCGGCTAAAGTTAAAACCCCAGTAGGGTGATTGAATAAACCTCCTAGAACTGTGTTTTGGAGGATTTTTTTGGCATGCTCTTAACGACTGCCCCAAAAAAAACAAGGGAGAGGGCGCACCCTGAACACTACATTTTGGATGGAGAAGAAGAGGGACACTGTAAAGACACCCAACCAAGTATTGTCGGTGAAGACGCGAGGGAAACTTGCAACTTTCATCTCCCTTGCACTGGGTTATCGATTATCAATTTGGATAGGTAGGACCACCACTGAAACAATAATAGCTGGACTACCACGTATTCATTACCATGGCAACAAATTCATTTTTGAAAGGGGGCTGCAGGTTTTCCTTCTTCCCATAGTCTGAATACTTTCATAACTCAAAGGATTATAGTTAAGTAGATTAACCCCATTGACAAAGATACTGGGACTATGCCTTAATTTTAGCATATGAATTCCAATTCGCATTACCCACTTCTCTTTAATTTGAAAATGCCTCACCAGAAGAATAGATCGTGTCATTCTCGTCTGCACTTTTTGAGGTCACGAAAAGTAAGAGATGTTTCTTCAATCTCCATTGATACTAACCACATAAAAATCACCTTACGATATCCCAAAAGTTTAATTCCAGTAAACTCCATGATGTAGAACTGAATTCAGCCTATTGACTGTCACAAAACTGAGAAGAGCAAAGCCATGGCAAGTTTTCTCAACTATATATTAATTGGCAAAAGCTGGTGAGTGAAACCAGAAGCTAGAGTAACCCTAATCCCAACTGTAAAGCTATTCTAAATGAATCTCAGAAACATCAACAATAAACTAATTATATTAAAAGGCTAAAAGAATACAAGGGTACAAGTTAAGCAACGATTTTGTGTATATTTGACGTGTGGGAATAGAATGGCACAGGATAAAGCATGAAAATGAATTAGGGGAAAAGAGGAAGAGGTCAACCCGGACTGTAACAGTCGCATTGAGACACACTTGGCCGTTTCCCCATTCTCACATTGTTAATGGGCGACAAAGTTGGGGTGGAGGCAGAGTTCAATATGCCATCAAAATAGAAGGACGATTACGGGGGTATAGTAGGCTCCTCAGTGGTGAACTTCTCACAAAATGCACTCCCGTACACTTACTTACAATAAGCACTAGGGTATCTCCGATTTTCTATCTTTCTAACAATACATTACAACTTACAAATTCCAAGAAAGCATTCACGAAACACAAAAAGGGAAAATAATAATCTATATCTATATATACATAATTACAAAGGAAGCAAACAAACAATGAACTTAGATATTAACAGCAATAGCATTGGGCTCTGAAGACGATTTTTTGCATATTGGCGTTCCATAAAGCCTATTCATTTCAAGACGAACTGAAAGTGTTTTGTGGAGCGCTCGATGAGGCTTTTTTCGACGACGCTTCGGTACTTCATTTGGATTTGTTAGAGGCTCACGGGACACCGAAGTGGCATTTGTGACGGAGGCCTTTTTACGACAAGACAGAGGATTCGGACCTGAAGGACCTTTCCTTTTCCTTTTTTTCACTTCAGCCTTCTGGAGACCAAACCTCTCCTCTATCTGATGCAGTCTTGAAAGCTGAAACAGAAATTAAAACAGTTGATATTGAAATTATCTTCAACCTTCATGGCCAATAATTTTGAATGAACATTAAATACGGTTAAAGTAGTCTCAAAAGATTTATCATACACGCGAAAAGTAAAACGGAACGCACTTCAGAATCATTCATCTGGAAACTCTTTGCTGTGATTTCATTAATGATTTGCTGTGTGGCATCTGGAATAGGTTCAGTGTTGATACAGCGTTGGGCCACAAAAAAGATAGGCATTCCAGGAACAGTTCGCGCAAACCCCTGCAACTTTGGATCATTCGAAGCTATGGCAAATAGGAAACACTTCTCGTCCTTATTCAATCGCCTGAAAATGCCATGCTTCCTAGCTACACGCATTCTTTTGCGGATGCACCACATTGCTCCTAGAGCCGGATTTAACTCATGGTGGCATTTCAGCTCAGTAACGACTTTAAGAAAACTTAGAGTACTCGAGAAAAGAGTTCCCAGAGCTTCACATTCTGCAATGACGCAAGATGAGGTTACTAATCGGAATCCTCGACCCACCAAGTTTGTGATACTTTCTTTGAGATTAACATTATTGACCAAGGATTGTCTAACAAAAGTATGATCCAAGAAAATTTCCAGGTTTTTTGGATCAAGGCCAAAGCATCTTTCATAAACTTCCAGAACCTTGGATATCTGGCGCGACCTCTTCACCCGCATGTTTGAAGGCCAATCAAAGTTGAGCTCCCCGCTAGGAATTTATATAAATTTAGATATTTAAACAATTATAGTATAGTCTGTAAAATTATTCGTTTTGCTAAATGTTATGAATTAAAATGACTTTATGTTAATTTTGGGTATTATATGTGATCCAAAAAATACTTAATTTATTAATTATTCTGCGTGAACGTGAAAGTTTTTTATTTTAGCAATTTATATTTTATTCATAAATCCTTTCTTAAACCCTAAAGCTCAGATAACACTATATATTTTTATTGTTCCTCTTAAACATAAAATTCATCTAAATTAAGATCCGTTTATAGACTTTGGCATATAAATGCTACTACGGCTCTGGAAAAATTGCTTTCTCGCTACCAAATTTTGCGTTATACAATTTACTACATACCTATTTGTATCGTGTGGGCTTATATTTCTCCAGTGACAATAGTTCTGACATGCTGATGTTGGTCAATATTAATTATTAAATTAAAATATCGACTTATTCATGTTTGTTATCATTTAGAATTCAATGTTTTCGTTTATATTGAGTAAATACGTACATTTCCATCCCTTTCGTCAAAATATTATGCTTTGACGCTGAATAAGAATCCATAACCCTGACAGATTACGGCTAAGTCCACGAAGTAAAAGTATATGTTTCTTACTCTAACGTTCTTGAAAGTTTAGACACTATTGTGCGCAAAAACATTAAAATGATTAAAAGTAAACTTGATCCAGGTAAAATGTGAGAACGATCACCAAATGATTTCCTGGACAAGCACATCAATAAAACTAATAAAATTCGTATATACATTTCGTCTGCACTAGCCTGTAACGGTGATATCTTATTGCTCGAATTTCAAACCGTTTCAGTATTTTGATTTCGGTTAGTCAGATCAGTTTCTACCTATTGTGAACTAACAATTTCGTATCTAACATTTGTTGCATACGGCAACTCTACATTCTCTCATTTCATTTGTAATTCTTATTGATTCCTACTTTAAGCATCTCAATTCCGTTGTTGGGTGGGAGTAAATTAAATCACTAGGAGTTCCGGCCAATTAGCCAAGAACTGAAATTTTATACTTGACATCTCGCTGTCAAAATAATTATACCTGATGACTTCGTTGCACTAATATTTTCTCAATACGTTTTATGAAGTACTGGATATAGTTTTCAACGACGGCATTTGATGTTTCCACCCAATTTCCGTATTGTTTCTCAAATTCAGTAGGATATTACTTTGACGAAATGATGACTTTAATACGAGAGACCTTTTCTATCCTTTTTTCACATCGATTCTTCCGTTCCTTTGTGCTCCCCCTCCCCTCCACATCCACTGCCGTTTTACTCACCAAAACCGAAATAAAGCTTCCACTTATAACATCTGAAAGATATATCAAGCGATACCACCCAAAGCCATATTTCCATGTAAATGAATAAACCATCTAGCCACTGTGTGATTTTTATTTATTTGCGACGTTTTTTGAATGAAGACCAGCTACTCGTGGTTATGATTTGTACCCTTCCTTTTTCTACATACCTTATTACAAAGAATCTTAGTAAACAGAACTATTTTTTGGACAAATTATAACTAACGAATGACTATCATTTTTAGTAGCTTATAAATTCAATTAAGTGTCTTCCTCAAGATGCAGCTCGCTAACCAAAAAATATTTGATTAATTCAGAATAATCGATTGAAGTCAATAAAGCTTGAGACACATTACCTTAAGAAATTTCTCAAATCTTACCAAAAAATTAAAATTAAGTAGTTAAGTATGTCAAAATTACCTTTTACTTACAAATAAGAACTGAATTGTGAATGTAAATGTACAATCACAAGTCAACCTTATAAGAAATTTTCCCTTTTCAAGGTAGAAATCGTACATGTGCACATTTATTTTGAAAGTTACATTTCAATACAAGTAAATGCAGAAAAATATTCACTGATCTCATATTTGATCAGCCATGGGACTTAATTACACACGATTTAGAAAAACAGACAAATTTGTGCTGAAAAATGCTTACTTTAATATCGTACACATAACTAATATTAATAATTATTTTTTAGATGCCGTGCACTCTTGCTATTGAATATCGGACTCCTCGTTTCTTCGCATCCTTGTGTTATAGCGTTATATTACTAGTTGATGACTGAATAGATAATGGATTTAAAATGTCCTCTGAATTGGTTCAGATTGGGTATCACCAATGCTAAATACCCCGCATGTTGAGGCAAATCAGGCTGGTTCATGCATTGATGAAAGCGTTCTTTGTTATGGGCAAATCGAGTGTTGGTAAAGGAAATAAATATGTAAACAAACATAGCCCTGACAACAACATTTAAGCACTAAGTGGAATTAAAACCATCAACCCTTCTCTTTGAAGTGAACCAATCATGATCAGAAATACAAAGATGAAATTTCTGTACTGTTTCTAAAAATCCAAGCTTTTTTATTTTTACAAATATTTTTCGGTATATAACCAATAAATATATTACTTGCTTTCCTCATGCTTCATCTTTCTTTTCTTCCTCGGATGTACTTGACACAATATTATTTTGAAAATTTAATTCCTCCTTTGTGAATCGACTTGAATCAATTGTAAATGGTCTGATTACTATCCGAATTCCGTCAACTTCATCAGTTACAGATTCTTTATTTGTCTGTGACTTTCTAGTTGCCATACCCTCCACTGTGTTAACTAGACAGGCATATAAGAGTGTACTTAGATTATTCCCAAGTACATCCATAGATGAATTTATAGGAAGTTGGGGAAACTGGAAAGCCTCTGGAGAATATTCCGGTAAAAACATACTTTGAGGAATATTAACAATGGCTGGATCATAGAAGGGTAACATCTGAGATTGGTTGTAAAAGCTTGGAAATGGAGAGGAGCTGTAAGAAGAACCTTGTGGATATAACGAAAAGAAGGGTGGACCTTGAATGTAAGGAGTTTGTGGATACCTTGAAAAACAGGAAGCGTTAAAATTCCTTTGCACCCTATTAAATCTCTCATTAGGAAATTTTGAAGCCTTACTCAATAGATGGCAAGGTATTCTGACGAAACTTTGCATGATTTCGCCTTCCGTTCCGCATTCGGTTAGAATAATTGTAATTTTGGGGGCGATACATGTAGTAAACGAACAAAATAGCTAACCGCTAAGCAATAAACGAACTATTAACATGAAATGATGTCAAAATTTTATGCTTAAGTCGAACAGATGTACAAGCAGCTGATCGCTAATAGCTCAATCGATAGCTATTGTTTGCGTAAATCATTTAAACTATTGATTTTTTGTGTCAAATGAAATAATGTTGAAAGTATAAATGCTGAAAAATGTTAAATATCTCAATTTAATACAACAAATTCCACTTTGCTAAGAAGTAAATGAATTTTTTGAGCCAAGTGTTCATTATTTACTCCTTGAAAGGAATACCATGAATACTTTTGGTTTTACATAATTGGGTTTTAAAAAATCTATGCCACTAACAACAAAAGTTGTATAAGCGAATTGGCTTATGATTAATTCGGTTTTAAGTGAAACCCAATTAAAATATTTTAGTTTCTTATCTTAACATGAGGAAATTAAATCTAAATACTGAGGTCTTCCCATTCAGTATTCGAGTTACAAAATATTAGCCTGAAATTACTAGAAGTATCCATTTTTCGATTTTATGAATTTTTTACATTTTGCTTATATTCTGATTTAATTGACATGATTTTAATGTCTAAATCATTATCTGGATCAAGTGTATAGTACGTATTACTGAAAGGATTAGTCAGTTTGTTGCTGTTTTGCGCAACTAAAGAGAGAATTTGGGCAGAGATTGCACTGGATCCATGAAGAATTTTTTTAATCATTGAATCCAGTTATTTAAAGAACTCAGCTTCACTGAATAATATTCCAAATGTAATGAAGTATAACTAACAGCAGGTCTAGCTGTCAAGATAACATAAATAAACCGACATCGATAATGGAAAACCGATCGATATTCAACGCGAAGGAAACCATTGTCTTACTGCATCCAAATGGGCCCATCTTTCACTGTTAGGCCCCCCTTTATCGACGGTTAGGTATTATCAGAGAACATTTCGATTGAAAAGACAAAGAGCAAGGATATACATAGATTAAAAATAGTAAAGGGCGAAGAACAGGAAAAGGTTCCCATTTTGTCATTGGTTGCATCTGCCGCATTTATACCCAGGGCCCTAACTTCTCATTTAATAAGGCCCAATTAACGTCGGTTGTTACTTCTAATTACTAAGTAGCAACGTGTTGGTGCGATCAGAACCTGCTAAGTCCATTCGCACACTTCCGCATGCCACCCATCTTATCTGTCTCAGCACCCCATAACGCGAGTCCTCCTACCGCCCAGCATTTAAATCTTAACTGGCAAATTCTCTCACAATTTTTTTTGCCTTCATGTATTATTACGCACCACTATAAAAACAAACTAGTCCCAATTCCGGAATTTCGAAATTTGCTTGAACAGAATCAGTACCCCGCTGTCTTCAGTCCCGCACACTTTATCCTCAACCAAAAGTCAACAAAGAAGAACGTAACCAATCATTTCAAAATATATTTTAGTTCCTTATACATGATGGATAAAATCATCCTCGTACAAAAGAGGCGGCTAACGCAGCAATTGTAGTACTATACAAACAACCATTAGACATACATAAATATTTATATATATAGATAAGCACCACATATTAAAACATTCATAGACAGATATATATACAAGCACTTCGCATTTACATGCCCCCATATCAGGACGGTTTTGGAGAGGAGGGCTTGGGAGGGAGGATACGAATGGCATTTGGAACAGAAGATCGAATGACTTTGATAATTTTTCTTCCCGGTTGCACTGCCGTATTATTTGTAGTCGAGGGAGTGGTGGATGGAATCTGGATGGTCTGAGATGGTGAGGAAATGGGGTTAGTAGGAGGTGGAATAGATGTGGGAGCTACAACCACAGTTGACTGTCCGGAGCCATCTGGAAGTATTCTACGTATTACTTGAAGATACTTTGGAGGGGGTTGCACAGGTTGAGTAAATTGCTGCTGGAAGACTTGACCAGTGGGAGTCTTGACCTCCCTTGTTACAACTAACACCGGATGGTTGGAGGGCGCACTAAGGACGCTCCTTAGGGGTTGAACAGTCTGGGCACCGTTTGTGAAGGATTGAAGGGGTACGGTGGGTTCCTCCTGCTGAAGGAGGACAGAGTTCGTAGACTGCTGCTGGGTAACAGAAGGGATATACTGACGAGGAGGTGCTATGTTTGTAGAAGGAATTGATTGAGTTATTACGGGCTGTTGGAAGAAGGTTGGTCTCACCCGAGGACGGGAATTAATAAATGCAATGCCACCACCTCTAGGACGGTGAATTGGCTGACCTCTTGATGGACGGTAGACAGATACTGATGGCTGAAATGAGAACAATAAGCAAACACTATTAGAAAACCAATATATGTGCACTAACATATGATTCCAAGTTCTAGTAAAGCTTTGGATGTAGTGTAAGTCGTCAAGTGAAAAGTCAACGGCCATTCTCATTAAGCCATGGTTATGAGTAGCGATTACCAGCATTCATTATTATGTAAATAAGAAAAGAAATTATCAGTTAATGTTTGCATCACAATACGATCTTGATAAAGGTCAAGAGAGTAAAACACGACGTCTTTTCAAGAAAAGTGAGAACACCGCCGGAGCCTAAGGTCCATTTACGCCTCTTTCCTCAACACCTTCACCACAATAGATTTCAAGCCAATCGTTCTGGGTAACATTCTTCCTACCTCATGCACAATTTCACCAGGTCAGTTGCCCAAGAGAGGCATTTCGTGACTCTTTCATGATTCAACTTTTCCCTCTTATTCATTCTTGGTTTGTGACCAAGCAAAATTAATCCAACCTAACCCATTTCCCCATGTTTATAGAACGATTTCTAACCTGATATTGTTGTGTGACAACTTCCTCTTCATGAGAAACCAAAGACGGTTGTCGAAAAACCGCATCGTTTGAATTAGTTGAGGCCATCAATGTGTTCAGGACCCTTGAATTATGCTGCAGTATCCTAGAGCCTTGTTGTTGATAATGATAGATAGAATTATGGTTCGAAACACCAACAGAACCGGAGGACGCGAAGGGGATACTTGAGGCTGCCATGGTGGAACTTGGATTTCCAAAGTGCTGGTAATATTGCCTTGAGGCATGTGGTCGCTGAAAATGGAAGTTTGAGGTCAGACATTATGTTTGGGACAGCTACTCAAATTGACATGTCCATGAGAGCTGACTGCTCAACAAATGTGTGACAATAAAACCCCTCTCTTCCAAAATCCAATTTTGGGTATATTAGAGATGACAATTTAGTGACCACGGGGACTAGCAATTCAAGATTCACGATTAGGAGCTTGATACTAGGCTTGCTTTCTATTCATTTTACTCAAGTACTCTCTGTGGTTAAAAAATGGCAAGGCTTTCTGCCTGCAACTAAGAGATAAAAGTAGATGAAAAGTAAACATACCTGCACAATAGCAGGTTGCACTCTGGGCTGTGGACGCGGAGGTATATAGTTCAGCTTCCTGCTAGAATTATAGGATAACGGAGGGCGACCACGTCGCCTTTTTCCAGGAAAACTATCCATCGATGCGGAGCCAGAATCATCTGCCTGTTCTGCAGAGGGGAATCGACGTCTTTGACGGGAATATGGATCGTCCTCATCAGGACCTCTCCAGTAATCAGAGAGCCGAGGTCTACCTCTACCCCGTCCAGATCCACGTGAAACAGCGCCTCCACGTCCACGTTTCGCACCTCTCAAAGACGGCCGTCCAGGATACCAAATATCAATTGCTTCTGGTTCATCTCCATCCTCATCATCCCAGTCAATATAGTCGGGGCTTCCGAAACGCCCACGACGACGACGATTGTCCATATCTCGATACCTCGCATTGAACCAGGCTGCTCTATCAGTAGAAGATGCTGCATCTTCATAATCCTCAGCATATTCATCATCAACATCATCCATGTCTCGGCCATCGTCCTGGAGGGAAGAGCGTTCACTGTCCACACCTGGACGGCCACGACCACGACCTGTTCCACGACCTCGACCCCGAGAAGCCGTACCGCGACCTCGACCTCTACCACGTCCCCGCAATCCACCTGTTCGACCGAGGAGTTCCTCCATCTCTTCAGCACGTGCCAGTTCGTCCAATTCGGCCAGACGCGCTGCTTCGGGATCATAATCGGGGTCACAGTAGAGGATTTCGTCCTCCTCCAACTCTGCACGTTCTTCATCGGCTTCATGGAGAGCTTTGAGGGCATTCAACTTCCATTCCCTCTTGGATTCCTCAATCTGAGCCTCAAATTGCACGAGCTCAAGATTCAGGGTGTCATCGTGGAAGCTCTCCAAGTGATTAACACCAAATCGTTCAATTGGGCGAAGCATGGCCTCGAATTCCGCCAGTTCTCTTTCGACGCTCGCTTCAGGAGTATTTTCATCCAAGACCGTAGATGCAACATTTTCAGCCTCTACAATCTTTGCCGCTGTTGCTGCCTCCTGCTGACGCATTTTAGCGAAACGTGCCAGTGGGTCAGACATTGAACCCTCTATTGTAGGAGGAGCCTGGTCGTCAGCCAATTCAGCCTTATCTTCACCATCGATAACAGCTGGAACTTCAATAGGCTTTGACTCATCAAATTCCTCCAAGTCCGCCTGAAAAGGGGTTTAGTATGCTCAATTCAGAATACGTCAATTTCAAACTAGCCATCTAACTTCTGTTAAATTATGATCATGTAAGCCCATTTTTGGCCTGCTGTGGTAACCAGGAAAAATAGAGGTTATGATTGGTAATGACATGAATCAAGCTAGTCTAGACGAATACTATGAAATGAAGTTATTAGAGGAAATTATAAGCATAATGAACTTTTCTGTGACCACAGGGGGTAAGATGACCCACAAATACGATTAAATAACCTAATCGACCATCTAGTGATTGCTGAAAGGACTCTCAATTCCTATGAAGACCGGTGTCCAAAACTCTTCCATTCCTTCATGATACTTCTTTCCCAGTGAGCATGTACACCTCTTATATGCTGCTCTTTATTCTACTGCGGTCTCCATAAATTTAGCCTTCCACAGTTTTGGTTTTGATCCATCATGCTTTGCGGAGTTGGTAGTAACCAGAAAAGAATCAGAGTCAAGACAACTCCGCTGATCTCAACTTACAAAACGAGTCAATAATTGTCCTTGAAACTAACGGAATTTCATACAGGACAAAGGTGCTAGTGGTTAGAAGACTAGCCCCTTCATATCACCTTACAGAGGATAAAACAAAAAACGCTAGGACCAATGTAACACTATAACAGTTTCCCCTCGAGTTTGGAGTTGATAGAAAAGGGAAATACTAAGTGACTCCTTCTTTGGCATTCAAGTTAAAAGTTAAAGCTCACTTTAGCTTCATCCAGAGCTCTCTTGGCCGCCACCCGATCATTTTCATCATCTTCGCAGGCTTCCAGCGCAGCAACCCACTGCGAGTCCGTGATAGCACCCTGTTTAACAGCTCCAGCAGTGCTTTCCTCCTCTGCTGATTGTTGTTTAGCATTCACCAAGATTGAAGTGGCTCCCTTCCATCGAATCTGACGTCCAGATCGAGTTGTAAGGAGGGGTGGAGAGGGTGGATCTTGCTCTTCCTTTTCGTCTTCTTCCTTCTTTTCCTTAACAGCTTCCTTCTCCTTGTCTTGAATTAGATCTTGCAAACCAGAGGGCTCGGCAAAGAGATCGGAAATGATGGATTGTTTGAAGAAAGCGGTAGTGAATTTGCCGCCCTCGATCGCCACGTCACTCAAAAGACGCTTCTGATTGGCTTTGCGAAGAATATTTTCCTCCACCGTACGTTCACTGATTAGACGATAGATGTGGACATCACGAGTTTGACCAATTCGATGACATCTGTATATGCAAGAAAATGATGCTTTGAAGAAGTCAGTGAATTATGGTGATTTCACACTCGAGAATGTAAAGTGTACTATCTCTTAGTTCACAATTTAGACTGGTTTAATTGAAATTGTTCACTTTGAATGCGTAGCTACCAACAGGTTGTGGACATGGCAATTAACGTCGATGTCCATCGATGCGCACTGCGGGAGCGAAATTGCCAACAACATTGATTAAGTCAGGCAGAATTCAGTTTCTAACAATGGATATTCCATAAAGTTACCGCTAAACCCCAAATGAAATTAATTTATTTTATAAACAGTAAACATATTGACCCAAATCAATCAAAATATATCTAAAGCGGTTACGCGAAAAAGGTGGAGGGGGGGGGGAGGGGGTAAAAATGGAGAAGCAGACTGAGGGTATATCTGTTATCCATTCAATAACGTGATATAAAAATATGCCTAGTCCAATATGAATTCCATGTTCGAATTTCAAAACGACAATTCAGTTCATTAAAAGGACCACTTAGCTATGCAACTTCAGAGATATGAGATTGGGAAGAGAATTTAGAAGATGCCTTGGAACATCACTCATTTAAAAATCGCTCTAATCGACTAGATTGCAGATGTGCAGTTGGTCAATCCATTCAATGGCTACACATCAGCGGGAATCGATGCCATAACCTCTAATCCGAAAACCGTTAAAATATCCCCCACAGGCATAAGACATAATTGTCCCCTTTTCTTAATTGGAACTTATTTTCCAGTTAATCGCTTGCTTAGGCAAGCGAAAAGTCTGCATAGATAAAACAAAACTAACTACACCTCCACTTTAGCCACAGGTGCATATCTATAAGGATGTATGTAGTGTGTCATTGACAACCAGTGCTCAACTAACCGATCCTGAGCTTGAGCATCCATGGTAGGATTCCAGTCGGAGTCATAAAAGATGACTGTATCAGCTCCGGTGAGATTCACGCCCAAGCCACCCGATCGCGTGGAAAGAATGAAAATGAAAATCTTCGGATCCATATTGAAGCGTTCCATGAGAACTTGTCGCTGCTCCACCTTGGTTGAACCATCCAGACGCAGATAACGATAACCATGGTAGGCTAAAAACTGCTCCAAAATATCCAACATTCGAGCCATTTGAGTAAAAATTAGAACTCGATGCTCGTCCGCATAGAGTTCTCGTAGGAGTAGATCCAATCGCTGCAGCTTACCTGAAAAAGACAAAAAATATAGGCTCAATCACTTCTGAAATGGGGTGTGCGATAGACTTACCTCCACGTGGTGCACCCTGGGCAACGTATACTCATACGGAAAAAAAGTCTATCAACTGGCAGTTGACCTCTGACTTCAAACTACCATGACCACACTGTATGTCATATTCGACCCCTTCCACCGTACTCATCTAGCCTTTTCTCTGCCTTTGTCTGTCTGTCTCTTTTACATCTGTGAAACGCTCTTCTTTTCCCTTGTCGAATTTTTCTCACTTTGATGTTCCTCCCTTCTGTGAAGCCCGAAGTCAACGAAAGGGCTAATGATAACCATCAAAATGGCTGCCGTTTGAAATAAATAAATAAATCACTCCTGAAATAAAAACACGCATCCCCACACACACAAGAACTTATTGCCGTAGAAAACAAACATTTCAAAAAAGCAGGTAGCGGATTTCGTGCAGTTTTAAAGGGGTTCTTAACCGGCCGGTGTGCCCTACCAACTCCAAAAATAATAAATAAATTATAAGAAAATAATTCCATTACACAGACGCACTTCTTTATCAATAGTCAATTTCAGACACTAAAACTCGGACAGGCCATTTTTGCTACGAGAGGGCTGTTCTCAAATTTCCTAATTCCCAAACGAGGCATAGAAATTTAAACCATTTTGCGACCCTCCATGAATCACTGAATAAGAACTTGAAGGCTTAAACTCTTATACTACTTGCAAAGTGAAATTTTGGAACATGGCAACCTCCTTAGTGAACTCTACTAGATAATTCTTAACGCAAAATGAATTAACACTTTAAGACACTTAAAACAAGATAGTTAAATCTTGTGCAGAATTGGGAACAATTCTTAAAAGAGTAAGTTATTGATATTTGATGAACTCTGGAGACCACAAACACGAATTGTTTCAAAAACTTAGGGGTCAAGTTTTGAAACGCCAAGTAGAACTCAAATTAAAAAGAAAGAAAAGACTGCCCACTTCCTACTACACAATTATATTGTACATGACATCAAGAAAGTTTGTTAAGAGAAAAATGACGATGACGACAATCACAGGAATACTTCTACTTACCACAATCATATTGAATGAGACGAGGATCTGGAAACTGGAATGCATGACTATTGCCTACTCGATGGAGTTGAGCAGGCATCAACCACGATCGGAAAGTGAGATTTCGACAAGAACAGTGGATTTTGCCAACAGCCGCACTGCTGGTGGTGACTGACTTTTTGTTTGTGCTGAGGGTGGTTGTAGAGGCTGTACAATGTTTGAAAAGCCCGGCGGAGTCGAGATATGGTTTGAGAGTGGCCTCAACAAAAGACTCTTGCTGCATCTCGGTGCGGTGAACTGCGGCACAGGAAGTGTGGAGACGGACACCAGAAGAGATGGCGGGAGGAGTAGTTATAAGGAAACTGAAAAAAATCAATTTATTAATGGCAATAATTACCACATCCTTTAATGTGTAAGTCACAACGCAAACGTTAGAGGTAGGACAGCAACCAAGCCGGCCAAACAGAAGCAAACAATAATACGGATGCTGAGTAGAGACCAATGAGGAAGCCGAACCTAAGAGGTCAATATGGCCTTTGGCTGGATCAGGAAATGTGCACACTTTGTCATTAGTTCTGGAGGGAGGATTGAAGTCATACAGGAAAGATGACTGCTCCCTTACACCATTTGCACTTCTTAATCTTCATATCTATCTCTTACGCATTTTATAGACCTTTATATGATGGCATGGAAAAAGACTTACTGAGACCACGCTAGCTAAAATTTGCATATTTTATTACTATATGAGAGACAATATAATACCTGAACCGGGGCATGCGTTAGACTAACCTCCAAGTGGTGCACCCTGGGCAGCGTATACTCATACGGCAAAATTCTATAAACCGGCAGTTGATTTCTCACTTCAAACTACCATCACCCCACAGTATGTCATATTCCATCGGTTCCACAGTACTCACCTTACCCTTTCTCTGCCATTGAGTCTGTCTCTTTAACATCTGTGAAACACTCTTCTGTTCACCATCTCGACTTTTTCTCACTTTGATGTTCCTTCCCTCTGTGAAGCCCGAATTCAACTAAAGGGCTAATGATAACTATCAAAACGCCTGTTATTTGAAATAAATAAATAAATAATACCTGAACTCATTTCGGAATAGTGACGAAAGGAATGTGTGAGAAAACTGACTACAGTAGAACCAAATTTCGAATCTAAATAAACCCAAAAACATACGTTAACACTTTTGAATTTCAAGTGATCCTGATGTAACATCATTATTCGCTAGCAGGAAAGGATTATGACACAATAAGGATTCCACAAAAAAGAAATTCTAACAAGGACGCACTCCAATTGAAAATGAGGCCAAATGAAATCAAAATAAATGCCTCATAAAAGGGTAAATTAGTGAAACATTTAGCTCGTAGGGGATTTCTAAACGAACTTACTTATTGAGATGTACGTCAAAATGTTCAAAACAGTCAATAGGACTGAACAACATCTGCCTCAATGCTTTATTCCACGAGGATCGAACGGGAAAAGCAGCTTCAGGTCCATAAAAGGGTTGCAGTCTTTCTACAAGAGCGGCTTGTTGTCCAGGCACCGACAGTCCGCTAACAACTTCGGTAGGATGCCGAAGATAAGTTGGGGGTCCATCGACATCATCACAAGCTCTTTTATCCGGCCATGTCCGAAGAGCCTGCTGACAGGCGATCCACGCGCCAGTACCGAAACGACTGAGTTCACGGTGATGGGGTTGACGAATGACAGCGGAGGTGAGAAAGTGAACAAGGTCGGGACTTGGGAGGGAGGTTCTATCGAACGTACCACTGTGATCGTAGATGTCTTCACAACGTCGCTCATTCAATCGGGAAATGAGGGATATACGATGTTGACGCTCAGTTTCACGACGCCTGAGAACAGCCTTGGGGATACCGTTGTCCCATGGATCCAAACGACGTGAAACTGAAGTAAAACAAAGAAAAACAAATATACATTGTTCATTTATTGACAAAGATAGTGAACAATAAACTACTTGGACAATAGGAAACAAAGAGAGCAAAGAAATTTTACCAATGAGAATGAGCGATTTCGCCTACCAATTAAGACTAAGCCTTGAAATTTTAGAAGAGGCACGATCGCTTAACCTAATGTCAACATTGAAGTAACTGCAAAATGGATGATAGAGGTTGAACGATAATACCGTTAACAATGCAGGAGCATTGGCCTTCCACTCCACTCCACGAACATTCGGACAGTTATTATACCAATATTTTCTTTCAGATTTATTTAGGATAAAAATGAGTGGTAGTAGAGATAGGAATTGATGTCGTCAGCTGTTTTAGCCACGAAAAGTCATGGCACAAAGGCTGTTGCTGGAGTTCTGACGGATAGCTTTGCGCAAGCGTTCTTTTCCATTTTTCTTTGAATCTAATGACTCAAAGGAAACTCTAAAGTAAAAGGGATGGGAAGACTTGTCATAGCAACTCAAAGACAGAATCTTCTTTGCTAAAGCTTAATCGTGGGGCTTCCCAGAGGAATCCGCAGAACAAGCTATTGAAATTTTAGGGCTCTACGAAAGCGTAATCCCAACCTTAAGCCTTACCACTATATTAAAAAGATTAAGTAAATTGTTACCAGGCCCCGTAATAGAGAAATAAATATTGGAAAACACCTCCCAATAATCAAGTCATATGGATATTACCTTCAATGAAGGAAGTTCCCTTGCACTTGGGTCGGGGAAGGTTTGGATAGGGTAATTTGGTTCTCAGAGGGTAATAATCCTCCATTGACCTTGAGAGCTCCTCATTGACTTCCAGGACGGTGGAATGGGGAATAAAAATTGGGACAGGACGACGTTTACTTGTGGGTTCCTCAGGCTCTAAGCCTTTCTGCTTTCTGAGATCGGTGAATAAGCTGCGTTCACGAGAAACTGAAAAAAAGAAGCAGCTCACGATTTATAAAAATCGAAGTCGAAAACAAACATGTTCAATGTTTGATCAACTGTCCGATTTACACCACCCGGTTATCCTGCTGAGTCTACAGGTCTATGTTCCCCTTTTTTATTGCCCAGTCTTGCTTCCTCCTTGTATGTGTGATACTACTACATATGACCAATGAGTGGAACGATCAGCCACGTTGATCAAGTCTGAGTAGTAAATGGCGGAATTCGGATTTCCCATTAGAGGACCTCCATCACACTACTTCATTTAGATGAACAATTTGTCAACTAAAATTCAGAATTGCTTCTCTCACTGTATTTGGGCATAAACCAAAGTTAAGCTTCTGTTTTTAAGATGCGCGCTCTCTTATTGGCACTCCAAATAGAAATAAAAGCACTCACCTCTATCCGACGCTTCAGTACTATCCAGTACAGTAATTAGATCAGGTTTAACTTGTAGCTGGTGGATCCTACGAGCCACGAAAGCAGGCAGATCCCTTGTCATTTCCGCCAAATTTGCCGTTTGACCAATCAAACGAGCGGCAGCACCTGCTCTATCCAGCCAATCAAGTGTAGAGGCTACTGTAAAGGCGGAAGCTGGTTGGAAAGCAGAGAGGAATGGAGTGGAGACTTGAGCTACCAATCGCGGCACTTCAATACAAGCGGCGTCATCGTCTGAGATGTGGAAGGGCGAGGTGATTGGACGGGGTTCAAAGAGATTTGGATGGTTGCAGACCTTACGCAATTGCATGAGAATATTCATGACTGAGAGAAATTGGCCTGAGGCTAGAGTATCTTTAGTCCTAAAAAGTACAAACAAACGATTAAGGTAAACTCTGTTTAGCTTATGCTTACATGCATGCATTTTCAGCGTTTTTCAGCCGATACAGTGAAAGCGATTTTTAGGAATTTACACACACACGTGATTGAAATGCAGCAAGTTTCAAAGTTGGATAAAATTCAGTGTGGGTTTATTCAAAAGAAGGAAAAAAAGATCACAAGGACCACAACCCNGAATCGCTCTTCTGTTCCCCGCCCCTCGACTTTCTGCTACTTTGATGAACCTTCCCTCTGTGAAGCCCGATGTCAGCTAAATGGCTAATGATGGCTATCAAAACGCCTGCCATTTGAAATAAATAAATAAATCATTATTAATAATTTTGAGAGATATATTTCAAGAGGTGAATATCCTTAAGAGGATAAAAGGTATAAAAATGACTTCTATGAGCATTAAATCAATAATTTGTTATGAATTCTACCTTGACTTGAGTGCCATCGACGTATATTCAAGTCGTTGAGATGTGACCAAATATTAAATTGGCCGACGGTGATTAGTCAAGTTTTTACTCTCAAAGACTCTATGAGTTTTATGAAACGTGTTTATAATTAAAACAAATTAATTTTGTTATCGTTGCCACGTTTAAGTCGATAAATAATTGTGCTCATTCCTAGATTCTCCTCTTTGGTTTATTTGATCGAAATGATTGGGTCAAAAAAAGAGGTCAGAAATAAAAATGGTAATGCAAACAAATTGGAACTTTTAATCGTTCTCGAGTACTCAGTCTCGTAAAAAGCAGTCCTTTTCGATTTAAAGGATAATCAGTGTCGACACATATCTATTCCTCATAGATGTATGCTATAATGTGGTAACCAGGCTTTGGATCTTGGGCGACATGATGTAGTCTCCTTAAGGCACGACGACTGGAATTTGATGGACTTTTTAGTGAATCCCGTCAGACTTTCTCAACAGTTTTCAAGAAGACTTTTTCTCTCTGGGGTCATTAATTCCCAGTAGGTAAGTGTGATTGGATGAAAATTAAATTCTCTAGATTCACTACCTTCTAATGAGTAAATATGTAGGAACCGTTGACAAGAGATTCAAAATGTCAAGGGACTGACACGAAGAAAAAAGTGAGAATGTTTAGCCAGGAACGCTATAAAAAAGTAGCATTAACCAGCTATCGTGATCAACGCTCCATGTGACCTCACATCTTGACAGTCGACAAAAACTAAGATCATTTATATTAGTACGGAGATTTAGATTCCTCTGACTGAGTTATATCTAAACATTCAAGCCATAAACTTTGCATACTTGATGATTGTTATTCATGAAAATAGCTAACTGCACTGTTTAACGCCAATCAATATGATGAATGATGCTATGTTCTGCATTAGATCTCACCCAATCAATAATGTCAAATTGAATTTTGGCTGAATTAGTTCCTATGAATGATTAGCATGATTCCACTGCTCCGTTTTAGCACCATGGGCTTAGATGTCTCCGCTAAAGTTTGCAAAGTTATGGATTTAATCCTGGACAGCCGAAATAATTCAAAGCGTCTAAAATTTAAGGCATGTTTCGAATTTCCCATTTCTTTGGCTCCACAATTCCTCCACAGGTTTCGATAAGTATATCATTTTAACGCTAATTGAAATCTCGCCGAATTATTGGTTTGACTCTTAACCACTGATTATGTGTTAAGTAGATTGGTAAAAATTGCAAATACTGACTCTTTAAAGCTGTTTCTTTAAGATGGAGCCAGAAAAAACTAGTAAAAGATCACTAATTGATTGACATTTCAGAGCCAAATCGGTAGAAGATCAAGAAATTGAAATCAATGCTTGTGGTTACTCAATACTTACTGTGGAATGCTAATCGATGAACTCATTTGAAATGTTATATTTCCCATGACAAGTCTGAGTATTTTTTATCCATTGACAAGCCTTCAGATACGTAACACGTGAGCTTAAATATATGGAAATAGGGGTGTGCGATAGACTTACCTCCTGGGGAACGTATACTCATGCGGCCAAAAAGTCTATAAACCAGCAGTTGACTTCTGAGTTCAAGCTATCATGACCCCACTACATGTCATAGTCGACCACTTTCACAATACTCACCCCACCTTTCATCCACCTTTGTGTCTGTCTCTTTTACATCTTTGAAACACTCTTCTGTCCCCCCCCCCCCGAACTTTCTTCACTTTGGTGTTCCTTCCCCTCTGTGAAGCCTGAAGTCAACTAAAGGGCTAATGATAACCAACAAAATGGCTACCATTTGATATAAATAAATTGGATGGAAATGTAGGGGAAAAGCGGGAGTCAATTAATCGGGAGAATCACGGTATACGTGAGCTCAAAACAATTAGNCCCATTTATCCACACAGCTAAAGCTACGCATTCTCTTGTCCCACGTGGTGCATCCTGGGCAAGAGTACACTCATATGGCAAAAAAGTCTATTAACTGGCAGTTGACCTCTGACTTCAAACTACCACGACCCCACTGCATGTCATATTCGACCCCTTCCACAGTACTCATCTAGCCTTTTCTCTGCCTTTGTGTCTGTGTCTCTTTTACACCTGTGAATCACTCTTCTTTTCCCCTGTCGAATTTTTCTCGCTTTAATGTTCCTCCCTTCTGTGAAGCCCAAAGTTAACTAAAGGGCTAATGATAACTATCAAAATCCCTGCCATTTGAAATAGATACTTGATAATCAGATTTGGAAAAGTAGTTGACAATTTAAAACCAATAGGAAATTTATCTTCAGACACCGTAGTTACGATTATATGATGAGATATATAACCCTTCAAAAGCAAAAGACGTACAAATATCGGTATTATGATACCCATTAAATACCACCCATTTAACAGAACGAAGATCAACTTACGTAGAGAGTGACATGAAATCATCGTAGAGGTATCGCTGACGCTTCGACAGTCGACAGAGAATGATATGCTCGTACTTCTTTGGCATCTGCCTTTCAACGTCCTCTTTAAGGCGGCGTAGAAGAAAAGGTCGTAGAACTTTGTGCAGCCGCATAACCAACTGCTCGTTGTACTCACTATTCCCCTCAATCATTCCTGTCAGTGGGGACGCAAACCACTCCTGAAATTCGCGATGAGACTGAAAGATATTTGGCATGAGAAAATGCATTAGGGACCAGAGTTCCATAAGGGAATTCTGCAGGGGAGTACCAGTGAGGAGAAGTCGTCGCTGACTATTGAAGGTAAGAAGAGTTTGCCATCGCTGAGATTTGAAGTTCTTAATATTCTGAGCCTCATCAAGGATTAGATATTTCCATTTCTTCCTTTTAAATGCAGAACTATCCTGGATTGCCAGTCGATATGAAGTTATGCAAACGTGAAATGCATTGGTTTTTGTCCAGCCCTGAATAAAAATAAAACAAGTGTAAGAGTACATCCGAATTGTAAGATGGAAGACGAAAAGAGAACCGAAACCAACCTTTCGTTTTGCCCTCCTCTCTTTCACCGAACCGAAATAGGTAAGGATCTTGAAACCAGGACACCACTTTTTGAACTCTACTTCCCAGTTGAGGATCACAGAGTTGGGAACGACGATCAAGTGCGGTCCCCAAATGCCCAATTCACAGGCCAAATGAGCAAGAAAGGCGATAGTTTGAATGGTCTTTCCTAAACCCATCTCATCGGCAAGGATACCGTTTAGCCGCTTTTCGTAGATGGCTACCAACCAACTCAAACCAACAACCTGATATTCACGAAGAGTACCAGAGAGTAAGAAGGGAGTTTTAACTGGTTCCGCCACAGACGCTAGTGTGTTTCCCGTTGGTTGAGCACTCATCGCCACGTCCGTGATAGCTTTCAATTCGGCATTCTACAAAAAAATTAAGATTTAATTAAATGTGTTATAGTTTCGACTTGATGTTTGTCAACAGGAGCCTTACCTCAGGCATGGAATCGTTACTTCTTGCCAGATTTTCTTTCTCATCTTCAGAAAGAAGGTCAACCAATCCCGGCTCTTCCATTTCCACATCACTATTCTCATTTTCTCCTTCCAAAGAGCTGTCCCCCGAATCCTTTTCCTCGGAGGAAGAAGACTCATTATCAGTTGAACTTTCCGCAGAGTCGGACTCAGATCCGCTGTCAGTAGCTGAGGCGGTGTCTGAGGTCTCTCCGTCAACAACTGGTTTTCTTAACTGTTCAGGATCGAGACCATAACGTGCTAGGAGCTCTTCGATGGGTATCTCGGCTTCGGAAGCCAACTGAGAGACTTCCTTGATCTCGCCGGCTGAAGGACCATTGTCCTTGTCTTCTGAACTGCCATCTTCAGCCTTGACTTTCTCATGAGCTTCCTGTTCAGCTATAGTTGTCTCGTCATCTGCCGAGTCTTCACCGTCTGCATTAAACTCCTTGTCATTGCAACGCTTCTTGGATGGCGGAGCTTGGTCTGTCTCCTGTAAGGAACAAAATAGAGAAAAGGTAGTTCGAAATTTGCTCTAAAAGGTATTTGTGGGATGCACTAGAACAAATGCAGCGGATCAACAGCAATGCCGGGAGTTGCCGCTATTAGCATCTTCGACTAAAAACCATTAAAAGCCATAGAAGAATTTCAATTTTACTCCAACCCATAATCTCGAGAGTTAGGTAAGAAAAATGGAAACAATAACTGACCTCTGATTTAGCAGACAAGCAGGTTGAAAAGTGCGCTACCACAGGAACTAATTTCAAAACTAATAAAGACAAACAGTTATTAAGCTAATGAACACAATGGTACAATGGAACTGAACATGACGAGATACGAACACCGTAGGTGTCTCTGGGCTAAAAGTAGCTTCATATCATTCACTAATGTCAACAGACCCACCGTCACAGATGGGCATGGATATGCTCTGCACTGTTGAAATGGTAGTTTAAAGAAGGACCACTTCTAAATATGTCCATGTACGAACAGCTATATTAAATGACTATTTGTTCAACAATTAGCCATAATACCAATTAAATATCAGCCCGAAGAGTCGGATATATTAGTTATTAATTGATAGTAGAACAGATTAAACAATCTCATTTGATATAGCCAAACGATACTGTCCATGACTATCTTTCAAAGTTATTTCATTTTTCATACAATTACATGACCGCCTTCGTTGCAACAAAAAGGAGTACTATTTTTGCCTTAGTAATAAAAGCCATCAAAGTATACAATCATATTTTTGGATAGAAGGAGTAAGCCTTAGATCATTAGTAAAACGAACCAATTCAAAATATAAGCTCAAACCAGAACTCGAATAAACTACACCCAAAAGGTGCTCTGGTTAAAATAACAACAAATCGCTTAGCCGAACAATGGAGGGTGGGGGGAGGGGGTGATTGAGTATGAATTCATAGACTACACCATCATCACCCGAGAAGGTGAAATGTAATCTGGATTCCAAACTGTAAGACTCTCTGATAGTCTGACTTAACTTTCGGAGCTAGTGAATTAAATACTGTTAAATTAATCAGCATTAAAATCGACATTAAAACCAAGTCATCGGCCGTTGTTGCTTCATAAATAAGATTTAAGCATTCATAATAACTAAGATTAAAGCTCTATTATATTTAGCTTAATGGGGTGCACGATAGACTTACCTCCACGTGGTTCATCCTGGCCAACGCATACTCATACGCCAAAAAAGTGTAGAAATCGGCAGTTGACTTCTGAATTCAAACTACAATGACCCCACTGCATGTCCCATTCCACCACTCTCACTGTACTCACCCTTTTTCCTTACCTTTGTGCCTGTCTCTGTCTCTTTTACATATGTGAATCACTCTTCTGTTGCCCCTCTCCAAATTTTGTTGCTGTGATGTCCCCCTCCCCCTCTATGAAGCCCGAAGTCAACTAAAGGGCCAATGATAACCATCATAACACCTGCCATTTTATATTAATAAATCAATATTTAACTTAATTAGATTAATCAGCTTGAATTGGGAAGGATTATAAAGATATAGATAATCTTGAATCTAAGACAATGAAAAATCCAAGTGATTTGAAAACTTAAACCGCCCTTAAAATAAAATTTCAATTAAGCATATAACCCCCCCCCCCCCCCCCCCCTTGGTGCCACTTCCTCTTCAGATATCAATTCATTCTATTTCCTCTTCAGCTAATAATTCACTTTGTGGTGAAAAATAAATCTAAATAAGTGGCACCCTACAAACATTTTACCAGAGTAAATGCTACTTTACTGCACATCTAACAGTCCTTAACTTTGTAAGTAAATAGGTATAAATTTACCCATGCTAATGAAGCAAATAGATGATGCGATCAAAACTCACGTTATCAGTCATATCTCCAAGAGGTCGTTTCCTAGACTGCTTTTCCTTCCCATCTTTCTCCTCTTCACTTTCATTCCCATCAATTTCCATGTCCAACTTTCCTGACTCATGAAGATGTTGAATATGCTCCAGATAGCCGGGGGGTAGAAGCTCATCAATGGACTTGTCCGCCTCTGCGCAGAGGGCTTCAATTTCTTTGGCTTCTTCATCTTTCGCATTTTCATCCTGCTGGACTAACTCTTCCTCTTTGGCAATTGTCTCCTCATCATCCGTGGAATCAACTTCAGCCTATGAAAACACGAGAAACAGAAAAATTTTAATGAGATTAACTTAGACCTAATTTGCAGACAGTAGTCCTCTACACGTGAGTTCACTAATTTTACGGTAAGTTTCAGCGCTATTTTGAAAGGGAGCTTTTAAAGCTTACAATGGCGTTAATATCGGTCAGTTTTCTTTCGACCAGCGTGGCTGGCAATTCCGATCACGAATAGATCTCAAACCTATGAAGTTGTACAAACATAGTGAACGATACGCAACTTAAGCATGTTCTTATTATTTTTTGGAGTTCGTAATAGACTTACCTCCACGTGGTGCACCCTGGGCAACGTATGCTCATACGGCAAAAAAAAGTCTATTAACTGGCAGTTGACTTCTGACTTCAAACTGCCATGATCTCAATGTATGTCATATTCGACTACTTCTACAGTAATCACCTCACCTTTTTTCCACCTTTGTGTCTGTCTCTTTTACATCTTTGAGACACTCTTCTGACCCCCCCCCCCTCCC